TTTTTCACTTGAGATGCAGTTGGTAGAGCTGAAAGAGGCTGTGGAGAAGTCATGGAACGAGTCTGAAAGGCTAGAAAGGGAAATTGCTGAAGTTCAAGAGCTGAAGGTAATCTACTTTCGCATCCTTGTATATATATCTGTTCTTTTATCTGCCACGCGCGCGCACACGCATGACATTCACTTTGTGGTTTTTCACGCCTTATTTTGATGAACATGAGAAGTTTAGTACCATGAATGTCGATGAGTACTTTGCAAAGCTAGAGGAAGTTCGATGATGAGATTAGAAATGATTACTGGGGCTATTAGTTTCTGGTATTGCACAAGAGTTCTTGGGAATTCTCTTGGGTGAACTTTTTTAGGTTCGCTTCTGTTCAAGAAATAAAGACAAAAACGAACTTCTTTTTCCCTTTGGTTTTCTTCAAGTCTCTATTAACTGTGATCAAGAGTTTACACATGCGTGCATTGGATTTGTTAATTTGCCTGAATTATGGTGATCATGCATAATATGAGAAGCTTTTGGAGCATATGTATCTTAAGTAATTGAACAACCATAATCCAGGGAGAGATGTCTTGACATTTACGAAATCTTGCTTGTTCGACTTTGATTATTATCAGACGAAGTCCTTGCTAGCTCACTGTTTTTTCTAGTATGTTACTATTTCCCCATTTTCATGGTTTTGTTCATAGATTTGAGTATATATAGACTTTTTTGGAGATCTAACTCAATTGGCCTTAAAGGAACAAATATATACTGGTGTGATATCAATTCATTTGCTACAAATTTGGCAACTTGTGGGGCAACAGGTAATTTGATAAGCTTACACGCCCCTAATATCAATTTGATTAAACCTTAGGTGGGGAGTAAAATTTTGAGTAATTCTAGTGTTGCTCCTATAAGATACATTTTTATTCAATGTAATGACATAATGAAGCCAATTAATATTATTACTTCGTACTAATTGAGCATGTAACCACTTTTTTTAGGATTTGAAACTCCAAAAACGCTGTTAATGTAGTTTATAACAGTTCCATTTGTAACCGAGTTTATTGCATTCCACACTGAATTAGAAATTTACTAATTTTTCCAATCACTTTGAACTTACTTACCATATTTGTATTGTATTAATAGTGAAGTTGGCTGAAACTAGCTTCATTCAGTTACAATATGACACGGTGAATGGTAGATTGATTATTTGTTTTTATTTTTTTCCTGACAGCTGAGTAGTCAGTGAGAGTTAAAGTTTTAACAATATTTCTGCATTGTCTATTACCTGAAATCTGCTTATCCATGGAGATAATTATATCAGTTTAATTTTCTGCTGAATTGTGGCACTCCTCAGCCAGGGAATCTGTTGCCAGCCTTACTGATGAAATTATCAAATTACGAGCTCAGGTACCAGTTAGTAACATAAATTGATTTTTAATCATCATCAAATACCCTCCTTTAACCCTGTAGGTTTCTTGTTTGGGTTTCTCACATCAAATGCAACCATTATGTTTTCTAAATAGTCATATTTATGCTTTTATGTGACTTCCTATTCAATAAAATCTTATTCTTAGCACGCCCACTGAAAAATAAGTGTTATTCAATTGAAGCATCCCTATTTTTCTGATAGTGGAACTTAAAATCAGAGCGTTTCAGGTGATAGAGTTGGAGAGTTCAAAGGAAGGTCTCCTAGACGATAAACTACAGTTGACACAAACTGTTTCCGGTCTACAGTTGCAAATCCGTAATCTTGAGAATGCTGCTGCTATTCATCTGTCATCTGTGGACAACAAAGTGGTAAAATCTTATTAATCTTCTGTTTTGAGATTTGATTGATGAGGACTTGTGTTTCTTTTTACTTTTCTGTTTCTCCCTCTCATGATCGTTAACTAGGTCGTTTTTTATTACTTCTGAATCAGACTTCTGAAGATGGGGATGCGAATCACTAGATGGAAGCTGCATGTGCACAGGTTGAGAAATTGGTTTTGGAATATTCAGAGCACGTTGTAAAGGTATCATGACAAATATGACTGGCTTACGATTGATTTTTATTATCTTTTTCCTTGTTTTACAATGAGTAATTAAGTAAATGGGTGCTGTAATAATCTCTGCATTTTAGGGTACCTCGACATGGAGTACTTCAGGAGGCAGCAGCTGACTATGAGAAATCGGACGTGTATTCGTTTGTGGGTTCTCCCATGTTTTTTGAGAATTTTCAGGAGAAATGATTAAGAATTGATATTTGATTCGTTTGGTTTAATGTTAAGAAGGATTTGTTTCGTTTTTCTTGTTTCAAGTAGTTCTCTGTGTAATGTATATTTTGTTCCATATTTAAAGGTCTCTACGAGGCTCGGCTCTGTAAAATAGATGATTTATGTTCTATATTATGGAGTCTTATTTAGATAGAGTTTGCTGAAATGGGGAAAAACGAAAAATGCTAAACCGGCCAGAAAAAAGATCTATGTATAAAATATTAAACAACAATAATCTATCTATTAATATATAAAGAGACAGACAACAACAACAACAACAACAAAATAGCCTTTTAGTCCCAAGTAAGTTGGGGTAGGTTAGAGATGAAACCCAAGAGAACAAATAGTAAGAGAAACACAAAAAGGGTTCAAAACAAAAGAAAGAGATTGGAGCAAAAGAGAAAGGAGCAAAAGTCACGATTCTGGCACGTTGATTGGTAGCCTCCAAGTGCTCCTATCCACCTCTAAATCCTTGGAGATATTTCAATCTTTAAGGTCTCTCTTAACCGACTCTTCCCAAGTGAGTTTAGGCCGACTTCTACCTCTCTTTACATCATCGACCCGCTGTAGAACTCCCCTACACACCGGTGCATCAAGAGGCCTCCGTTGGACATGTTCGAACCACCTCAGTCGATGCTGAACCAATTTCTCCTCAATTGGAGCCACCCCGACCCTATCTCGAATATCCTCATTCCGGATTCTATCCCTTCTTGTGTGCTCGCAAACCAGCGCAACATACGCATCTCTGCTACACTTAGTTGTTGGACATGTTGCCTTTTTGTAGGCCGACATTCAGCACCGTATAGCATCGTCGGGCGAATCGCCGTCCTATAGAACTTACCTTTTAGCCTTTTGTGGCACCCTCTTATCACAAAGAACGCCCGAAGCTTGACGTCATTTCAACCAACCGGCTGCAATTCTATGCCTAACATCAACATCAATGCCGCCATCCTTTTGTAGCATCGATCCTAAATACCGGAAAGTCTCTTTCTTGGCCACCACTTGCCCGTCAAGGCTAACGTCACCATCATCACGTGTAGCCATGCTGAAAGCGCACGTCATGTACTCGGTCTTCGTCCTACTAAGTCTGAAGCCTTTAGACTCTAACGTGTCCTTCCACAGTTCTAACTTCCTATTTACCCCTGCCCTACTCTCGTCAACTAGCACCACATCATCAGCAAAGAGCATACACCAAGGGATATCACCTTGTATGTCCCTTGTGGCCTCATCCATCACCAAAGCAAATAAATAAGCGCTCAATGTTGAATAGTAACTAAAAATCATTTAAAATCCTGTCTAAATATACTACTAAATATAGTAAATTATTCTGAAAATTTTTGCAATATACTGCCTATTTGAATTGTTTGAAATTTTTGAAAATTTGAAAAATTTTGTCAGTACAAGACCTTCGACCTCTAAGCTCGAGCAAAGGAATTCAAAGTTTGACGAGAAAACTTGCAGCGCTTCCGATTTATCTCAAAGTCAATAGATCGGTGCAAGCCCTTCTTCAAGGCCATCAAGAATAACAAGAAGTTTGAGTGGACCTCTGAGTGCTAAGGAGCACTAGAGGGCATTAAGGCCATTTTGAGCCAATCCCCAATAATGCAAAAGCCTAGGCTCGAGAATACACTCTACTTATACCTCGGAGTGACTGATGTAGTCGTAAGTGTAGTCCTAGTTCGGGAAGAAGCCTCAAGCCAACACCCGATCTATTACGTGAGTAAGGCGTTGCACTATGCCAAGCTACGGTATTCGTCGATGGTGAAGTTAGCCTTTGCATTGATCACTACAACTCGGAAACTACGTTCTTATTGTCTGGAATACATGGTGGTTGTCTTAACAACCTTCTCCTTAAGACAAATTTTCCACCGACATGATACTTCAAGTCAGATGGTGAAATGAGAAGTCGAGCTGGGACAGTTCGACACAATTTCAACCCCGAAAGTCCATTAAAGGCCAAGGTCTAAATTATTTACTTGGTTAGTATAAAATAATCTTATACTCCGTAGGTCCGTTCAATACATCCGAGATGTACCTGTGTAATTCATTAGTCAAAGACCAACTAATTTAAAATCACACTACATCCTCTCACGATAGTTAGTTAAATACTGTTTGGACTGTGAACAAATATTTATATTTTACAAGACACCGACAATATAATCTTTCTGTTTGACACATCGAACCATATTATCTAAAATAAAAGAACTATGTTCGCATGAATAAATAAAACTGCAACATACACTTGACTAAAACATAAATCTTATTCAAAACGGTATTGTCAGAAACTGAAAGTCGGACTTTTACAGTATACCCTAACACTTGACCTATTAATTATCTTAAAAAATATTGAAATTATGATTATTAGTTATTCAATTTTAATAAGTTTGGGTATACCACTAAAACCAATTAGCTTATTAAAAAATACATAATGAGATGCACAATAAATAGTTAAAGAAAAAAATTTATCGTTATATTTTTTTATATTTATTGAACTTGCATGTATTATTTGATGTGAGTCAGTGGCGGAGCCACCAGTATGGCGAGGCATGGCGGCCGCCATACCTGGCCGCCGGCGAACACCCCCCCACCCCCCCACCCCCTCNACAGTTCTTGTTGTTCGCGGCCGTCGTCCGTCGATGCTGGAGGAGGAAGACAAAGAGAGACAGGTAACGTTTTGACTTTCGCGTGGGGTTGGGCAGTTGGGCTGGGCTGCAGTCTGGGATATGTTGTCCTCTTGGGCCTTTGCCACTTTGTGCCTTGTGAAGGTGAAGCCCAATCGGCAAAAGTTCAAAAGACAACTTCTCTTTTGACTTTCACTTTACCAATAAACTCAATTCCTTAAATTCTGCCGTGGGATTTTTGCTCGACCTCACTAGCCTCCGCCCTAACCTAACCACAACCGCCTCACGCACTACCGTCGCCGTCGCAGCAGACTGAGCTTCTCAATCAATTCGGTAGGAACTTCTTCTTTTATTTTCTGAAGTTCTAAACATTATCCCCATTGAAGAATTTGGTTAGTGTGATTAGTGCATTGATATGAGTTTTGAAGCACTCAAGCTGTCAAGCATATTTGTTGATTCTCTGGTTGAAGAACAATTAGAAATTTAGAATATATTAATTTTGATAACATGAATTGTAATTTATCTAATTGATGTGATAATTGATATGTTCCCATCTGTTTTGTTCCATCTAATTATATTCTAAATTCTAAGCTTCAGGTTGATCAAATTGTAATAGCTTCTGTTTTGTAATTAGAATTGATATTGTAAATTTGTAATAACTGAAGCTACTGAACGTGCTTATGCTTGATGCTTGTTTGGATATTTTTTTTTAGGAGTGCTAAAGTATTGGGTGACTTAATTGGTGTAACTGTTAGCTGCAATTTTGTTAGATAGCTTAACATTTAAATTGTTGTCTCTTCTCTTGCAACAAATTATAAGGAAGAAAAAGGTAGTACTTTTGTTGTGGTAATTTGAATGTCGTCTGGGAATTTATTCGGTTCTTGATAATTTCGATTTGTTCGGTTGTTCCATGATTTGACTGAAAGGAAGGATTTTTATTTGCCTTTTCTAGCTTTTTAATTTTTTTGGGTGAATTTTCTCTTCAAGGGCTAAACAACACCAATTATGCTTGATGCTTGTTTGGATATTCTTGCGACTCAGTGAAATTAAGAAACTTTGTGCAGCCATTGTCTGTTCGGTTTATTTTTGAAATTTTCAGTGCACTGATTTAATATCATTATCAGAGCGGATAATGTTGGTTCGTTTATCTTTATGCTGCCTTTGGTGTTGTTTTCTGGGCCTTCATGGCTTTTTTATGAACTGTGCAATTGAGTTACAATCTTTATAGATTTGTCTGTATTTTCTTAGAGATTGGTATATGTAGTTTCTATCTTTTTATTGAATCAGAGGATATCAAACTTGTTAGTTTTGTAAATAAATTAATTACTTGTCCAATATGTGCTTTTTCTTATTAGTATTTAACTTTATTTTTTCTTAATTAGTATTGTAAATAAATTTATTCGTATATTATTCTATCATTCTATAATCAGGTTTGTTGGACGAGTTACGCAAATTCGAATTGGAAAGTTCGAAAATATCGCCCGCCGGCAGTACTGCTCCATCCGCTCGCCGCTCGCCTGCATGGAAGAGCCTCCTAGAAGTGCCAGTGGTAATCCGAATGCAAATGCTCCTCCTCCTCGATCTACAGATGCTAATCCTAATCGTCGACAACGTCCAAGTTCAGATGCAACTCAGATTGGGAAAAAATTGAAAGGTGAGACACTAGATGGTCTCTATGTTTCATTGTTGGTACTATAATTTGTTAATTAATGTATCTCTTATTTTAATATCCATCAGTTGTCAGCATAAAGAGATTTTTTAGCAGTAGCAGTAGCAGTACCCCTGTTAATATAGAAGGAGAAGCGAGAGATGGGAATGACATTCAGTCCACTGATGAAATTGAAGCACCCGTCCAAGAAACACAAGTTGAACAAGCAGAAGCACCACAGGCTGAACCTTTGCATCAAGAAGGTGGGTTTATCACAGAGTTCAACCAAGATCATCTTATTTCTGATCCCGGGCTTCGCATTCCAATTGAAAGATTTCATCCCAACATTAGAGATCAGGTGAAGCGAGCTTATTTGATGAAGGGTCCAACACAACTTAAAGGTCATACTTTTCCTCGTAGCCTTAGTGGTAGTGGACCGAATGACTATAGATCTTTTCTAGAATCATGGTTTGCCAAGTATGATTGGTTAGAATACAGTGTGGTGAAAGATGCCGCTTATTGCTTTTATTGCTTTCTTTTTAAGGAACAACCCTCTGATGGTCAGTTTGGGCATGATGCTTTCACAAAGTTAGGATTTAATACTTGGAAGAATGCATATAAGGCCCTCCCTAAACAT